TATTTCTCTTTATTTATTGGCATTTCACTTGTATAATTTTATAATAATAACCTAATTATTAAATAAATAATCGATTATTGGATGAATATAAACTTATTTCAAGTTTAAAAATCATATCATTACTGGCTAAAAAAAAANAAAAAAAAAAAAAAAAAAAAAAAAAAAAAAAAAAAAAAAAGGTCCTAACTCCGGAATCCCCGTGACCTGCCCACGGGGCCCTAAGGTTCCGCGAAACACGTTTTGGGAACCGCTGGCTTAAACTATTGGGATCATTTTTGTCTCNGGAAAAAGAACCCCCCCCCCCCCAATATTTTGAGACTCAAGAACCCAAATCCGTCGGAAAAAAAAGGATATTTTATTTTTCAGAGAAAGTACATTTTTGTGTAGGATATTAAATCTTCAAATACCGTTTGCAAAAATTAATTAGCATATTTAAGGCTAGACTCTCAAACTTATGATTGTATTTTACAGGTCAATCCGATCGCTAGATCAAAAGCTATTTAAAAGTTCCTTTTAAAAAAAAAAAAAAAAAAAAAAAAAACATACAAGGAACTCGTGTTTAATTATGCAAAATACTATCATTTATCAAACTGTCTGTTACAAGTAATAATTGGAGAACTTGGCCATACTTTTTCGATAGGTGGCTGATGTTCAAATTATTCATAGTATTGTTTTCGAAAACTTTTCAATTTTCGGGGATGTAATTCCACCCAATAATAGAGAAACATCCTATTGCCTACCTCTGAAAACAGTGTTTTAATTACGGTATTAAAAAACACGGTTCATTACTATAAACCCAGAACCGTTCAATCATACTAGCTGTGTCTGAACCGTTAACAATGTTCATTCTTTCTTTCTATTATACAAAGGATCTTCAAAGCTTCAAAACGTATTTAAATTTAGATTCTTTTCCCTCTTGCAATACATTTGTTAATAGTATTCGTATTTAAATTCACTTTTTTTATTGTTTTTCATCCCCGAAACTGCGCACATAACAATAATCAATCGTGTAATGATTTCAATCAATAATAGTATTGAAAGGATGAGGATATAACAACAAAGAAAAGGATAAAGATTTTTTCCCTTTGCATACAATCGTATAGAGATAGCCAGAAGAAAAGGAATAAATGATTTTGAAGACAATAAGAAATATTCATAGAGCAAAGTAAAAGAGGGAAAGTTATGATATTACCCTTTGTATGTATAGTAGTAATTGAGAAAGTTCCTTATTTAAAATGGAATTGGGTAGGTAATAGTAATAAAAATCAAGAGGACAATCTCGTCCACTTTCGGTTTTTATCAGAAGTTTACTTTAAAGAAGAGACAGAGCTATCGAAAAATTTTGGGCGAAATATGAGCCACGCAAATAAAAGTGTTTTATTCTGAAATTTCTATGGCGGGCAACATAGAGATACATTCTTATTTGAAAATTTTTACAACACAAAGTCAAATTACGAGATATTGCATTTTATAAATAATTTGGGAACGATCTTTAAGATCTTTAATAAAAGTAACGAAAACACTTTAAGTTTTGTCGATCTTTAGTCAACGCCGTTTATGTTAATTATGAAAATGGCGCAAAATGTAGTAGAGCTAGAGTTTTATAATGAAAGGCATTGATATTTAGTACTTCTTTAAAAGTTATTTGGCATAGCATTATTTGGGCATAGAAAAACACGATGAACGAAAAGTATTAAACTCTTTAAATTTTTTAAAGAGTTTAATACTTTTTTCAGTACATTTAGATCTTTATTTAAAAATTTCAGACGATTCTCTACAACATCGAGTTTAAGGTATTTCAACTATGGTTTTTATTTTCCTAGGTGAAAGAACTTTGAAAAACACACATAAAGAACTTAAAAAACTATCTTAAACCCACGGTGTTTCGATTATAATACCAAGCTATTTCATAATATCTAGAATATACAATGTCACATATTACTAAAAATATAAACATGGCATAGTTCATTTTCAGATTGTACTAATTTAAAAACACAGTTTTCAAATTAATTTTGGTTGAGAAGCACTATTATTTTTTCACTATTACAAGCTTGACTTTTCTAAAATAAAATTTAGTGTTTAATTCAATTTATTTACAACAATCTTTAGCTGTGCACAATTAACTATCAGAAAAAAAAACGTTATTACAACGTATTAAAAGTTATATTTTATCTTTATCAATAAAGATAAAAATTGTGAACAACCAAGACAATTTAAAAGCACACGAAAAAAGATAAGTTGGTGTGGAATTTAACGGAAAGTAGAGTTATCGCAAGTTTTCCGCTTTAGTTCAAAGTTTTTTGCCGATAAATAAATCAACTTTATCACACTTATATTTCGAATAACACCCTTCACATACTTCGAATAACACCTTTCGAAAATAAATTTTTATTTCTACATATATTTTTTTTGAAGTAGAAGGCTTCGTTAACCAAACCCCGTGTCCTCATCCTTCGCCCTCATTTTTTTTCCTTTTAAATGTTGAAATTTTTTAAAACCTAAATTAATTAATGAAACACATATTTAGAATAATTTTGTCAGAAAACATTTTGTTAATATGTTGATCGTAACGAACGGTTCCTATCTCTCTTTATTTTAAAAAATATATAAATAAGGTCTATTCAGAGCGCCAAATTTCAATTCTTTTACTGCATGGTATTTTTTACTACAAATTTAACAACTAATAGTTCTCGAACTACTTACCGAATGGCAAATTATTTTATTACATCGAGCTTCCTGCGAAAATCTCTACGCATCTTCGTACTTTCAAGTTTCTTAAGTCTTAAAAATTTTCCACCATAACACAAAATGTAATGTAATTTTGAAAACCTAAAGCAGCGGCGGCAACGCAGCTTACAATTTTCTAAATAAATTATACAGAAAGATACCTAACATTATTATACCTAGATACCGAATTTTAAATTAGAAGGCAGTATACTAAGTATCTTTAAAACCGGAACTTAGAGAAGGTTTTGGATAAGATTTAAAACCTTAATACACAGATGCGCTCTTGATCCGGACAGCGAATAAATATTGTCGAGTGGTAGTTTATTCTTGGTTTATAAATTCAAGTTAGTAGATTTTTACCCACCACTACTTCCAAAAAATTCGTAGGCTTACACATTCACCACTTTGTTACAATTATGTCGTGTTAAATCTTTTAAATAATTAGCAAAATTATTCAAATATTTGCAAATTTTGGTTTGCAAAAAAAGTTGTTTAGTTTAGCAAATTTACCGTTTTTTAAATTATTTTGGCGTGTCCGGAGCAGTTGGCATCTCTGTTAATATAGAAAATTTGGCAACTAAATACATTTCAAAGAATAAAAGATTTAAAGAGAGTAAATAAGTTACTAAACAAAGAATTTTTTCATAGGTTAACAGAGGAGGCGGAATCCCCTTATCTATCTGAAGAGGTCTCTCGCTCTAATGAGGTTAAATCGAACATTTAGAAAATTCTTTTTATGAATAAATTTATTCGAAAAAGTGAAAACATTGCATTTATAAAGCTTCACAAACCAAGTCAGCATATTTTCCTTTTATTGTAAATACCGATAAGCATATAACACGATGATTACTAAACACGATTTACTTAAAAAGAAAAAGTGGTTTAAAACGAATAAAATATAATTCATTGAAATAAGAGAAGGAAAAAAAAGAAAGGGCCAAGGTAGCAATGAAAATAAAACTCATATCGATTGTATTCAAAATAGACTTGGAATAAATAAATAAATAAAAAAGTAGTAATGCTTCCATTACGCGAAAAAGAAAGAAAGAGATAAATAATTCGAACGCACGAAATCATCGTATCAATGGCTATCCGCTACTGACATTCTACGTGTAGCAAAACACTCTTCACGACTTCGTAACTTTTTATTGCCGACGATATTTATGGTGCACGAATTAGACAAAATGGCAATGTAAAAATTCATAATTTAAATAAACTTCCGGGATACTTCCTCATCATGATGCGTAAAACGCAAGTCATTATCACAAATAAAAAAATAAAAAACATTTAACTTTATGGTTCATTAATAGAAAAGTTCTCATTCTTCATTCAATCTAATTCCTTGTCATGGGAAAAGCATTGGAGCAATATTTAGACACTCTTTAAGGGTACTAAAAGGATGGACGATATTGAAAAGAAATTGTAACGCGTAACATATGAAAATTAGTAACTAGCTTATAAATGCAAAGCAAGGGTAATTTTAAAAATATTTTGAAATAAATTATAAAAATTCTCAAACGATAATAAAAAATAAAATTCTCAAACGATAATAAAAAATAAATTTCTCAATTCTTTTCCCCTTCTTTTATTATTATTCTGCATTTTTAAAATTTTTTTCGAAGAGAAAAAAAAAGTACATATTCTTTCCGGATGTTTGGATTTCGGTAAATGCATTTGGGAAAGAACAGACGGTCTACGATTATTTTATAGAGGCTGTTTGGATATATGCAATTAATTTTTTTTTACATGACACATAAATCAGACAGAATCAGCGGCAATTTTTTTGTGTGTGCAAATTTACAATGTTTTTTACTTAGCTGATTTCAAAACACAATAAAAGTGTATAAGAAAATTTTTTAAATAAATAATATTTCATAGTTTCTGTTAAGATTCTGCTAAGCAGAAATTATATCTGTTCAAAAAAATTTCTCCTAAGAACTTCTGTCCAAGAATTTTTTTCTTCTTCTTCTCCTTATTATTGAAACTAAATTTCATAAAATGATAAAGATAAAATAAATTTTGAAACTAATTAGGGAAAAAAAAATTCATGAATTCTTACAATAGATATTTTACGCTACTCTATTAAAGAATAAAGTTTTTAAGAGAATGCAAATAATATGGTGCGATGTTATGTACACTTAGAAAAATTGAAATTTTTTATAAATTCATATAATAAAATTTGCCTCTGGAAACGAGATCACTTTTGTGATTCCTAAATAGTTGACAGATTAAAATAGTAGTACTAAAACTGAAAAAATGAAATTTAAACTTACGGACTACGGTGTTAAGGTTTCTTCCTACATTTTCATCATTTGAATTATCCTCTCCGTTGCTTAGTACAAGAAAATTGTTATATCCTCGTTTAACATGTCCTGACTCTTGAGATAACTGTCCGCCATTTTTTCGGATAACAGCCATTGCTAGACCATCTTCAGACACGTCCACTGGTGAGTCCGGTGGCGTGAGAAAGGTGGAAGGCGGTGGTACACAATAAGGGCAACGGCAACGCGGTGACGGGGGATAAGGGTACCACCCCTTCTTTCGCCTCCACTCGGAATTATCACATAGTTGGATGGTGGCTGAAGCTTTGGGAGATATCGGCGGTGAAGGGTATATCTTGGTACCATTACTGTCATACCGATAACAAAGAGGCTGGTAAGGTTTGAGGGTCACTATAGTACCGGATGGGTCATCCATGCCAGCAGCACAACTGGTATCACTTTCGCTGGTGCGTCGATCCTTCTTACGGCGTTTCCTGGGTTTGATAATTCTTGGTAAACCGTTCTCGGAAATGATCGAATCTTCGGAAGTAGTGCTGGTACAATCGCTCTGTTGGGAGGGTGACGAGGAAACGGCACGGGAGGGGTTCAGACCAATATCCGAAACGTCTTCCTCAATATAGCAACTATTTCTTGAAGCTTGAGGATACAGATCGTCCACTCCTGAACTGGACATCAGCATGTAGATGGGGCCATTTCCCCCTGGGCTCTCACCCAGGCAAAATTCTCTATTTTTGAATGACGCGATTGGGCTGAGGAAGGGTTCGGGATCTTTTTCCTTGTCTTTAGGGGATAGGATCAAAGGCGCTCCTTGAGCGTGGATGGCCAAACGGGAAATCGGTAAGATTTCTTCCAAGTTACCACAATCGGTGATTTCCGCTCCAGGTGGAATGGAATATTCCAACGGATTGTGATTACCACGGGGATAGATTCGATTGCCTTTCCCTGAATGTACCGGATACTGTACTTTGTTTTGCCGCACCACACTTATAAGCGGCACTCCTGTCCAAGCGTAATTGCTAATGTTGTATCCAGGAGTTTGTATCGGAGCGCTACAGCAGCGGTTGCAAGGAAGTACATACCCGCCGCTGCTCCTGTTTCCTGCATCGCTGGTGTGCCCCCTGGGGCAGGATTTCCTCTTGGTCCTGGGTTGTTGCGTGATGAGGCAGGATCCTATATACTTCTGGATATCGACAGGGGTTTCGGGGTGAGGGCCCATATCAGGCAGGCACCAATACTTTTATGTCATAGCTACTTCGTCCCCGGTCACAATCCGCATTAAAACAATATATTCACTAAATATAAAATCCGTTTCCTCAGCATAGCGAATGGAATAAGACTCATTTGCACATTGGAGTTTTATGAACGTGGAAATAACCGAACTTCATCACCGGTCTTGGAAACGCCGCCAAGGGAAGAAAAAAAAAAAACAACACACGCAGTTATCCTCGTCAGCGCAAGAGAGTTTAAAAATTGCCAACCCGCTCTCCAACCTCGCACTCACCGTTCTGAAAATGTTTCGTTTTTTCTCCGTCACCTGTAGCTGCAAACGAGTACGTCACATTTGGCTGAGTATCGCCAGAACAGGTAAAGATATCCACAAGTTGGAATGGCCTTGTGACATTGAAATCATACGGCGGAGAAGGAAAAAAAAAATAATCGTGTTCTTTTTCAGATGGTAATATCTTCGATGTTTATTTATGCGCAGATTTAGCGAGAAAACACGCGATTATGGATGTCAACTGTTTTTCATCTTCAAAGAAATATTATATAGGACACTTTATTGTATGGTGAAAGAGTTTTGTATTTCGTGTAACTATGGTGACCAGGACGGAAAAAAAAGGTAGAGGATAAATATTTATTTATAGAAATGGCATCAAGCGATGAGCGAGAGGGAGATTCGTGATCTAGGTTTTATTAATAAAATTATGATTTCGTACACTGTTCGTTTGCTTTAAAAGATGAGTTGCGTATTTAATTTTATTAAGCGAGGGAAATTATTTTAGAAGAGTGAATTAAACAAATTGAGAAACACCATTTCACAATGATTGTTTCAAAATGATTTTTATCGGGTAACATTTAGAGTAATGTGAAACACACACAAAAGATAAACAATACGGATTAATTAATGGATCTATTTTAGATACAGAAAGAGATTTGTTAAAATTAATTTAGTTCAGAAATTCTCAGTTTGTAGTTTTCAAAAAAAATCTATTTTTTTACATAAATTATTACTACATTGCAATTGGGTGATCGATTTGGGTCTAAATCATAAGAAGCGGATGCTGCTATACTGCGCTAACTGAAACAACTATGTACTCAAGGTAAAAGAATTAAAAAGTATTTTAAACCATGTTTATAGTTTAGGTCAAGTGGGTCTGAAATCATTAGCTATTTTTTTTTTCTTTTTTAAATTATGAGCTTTTTCATTTTTTAAAGTAATTCGACAATTTAAAGATATTGTGAATAAAAATTATTTAATAACATTAATTTGTATATTGCATTCAAAATATATAAGGCAACAGTTTACAGTCAGCATTTTTTCTTTCTCATTCATTTAAAATTAGTCAACAGCTAGCGCGCTCAACTTGGAATTTTTTTAAGGGGAAAAAAAAATTTTCTTTTCTCTCTCTTTTTTTTTCTTCTTGAAATTAGCAAATATATTTTTTTACACACTTCGATTGATGAGTGATTTCATTGTGAGTAACAATAAATTTTTTATTTTAGAGACTAATCTTTCTAACACAATCAAAATTTCGTTTGTCTTTAAATAAACTAGAAAAGCTACGAATAAATAATTTGAAATATCATATTAAATAGACATTGATTTAACAGAATCAATTTCAAATTTTCTTATCGAGAAATTTGCCTCCTTCTTAAAAAAAATTCTACCATTAATAGTTACAATTAGACATTGTTTAATACAAGGTGGCAAAATGAGGACCAATTTAACACTAGATAACAAAACACCTGCCCCTAATAGATTATTGACCAATGCCAGTTATGAATTGGAGATGCTCCCAATAAGCTTAAGCTACTGTGCTCATAGTACCTTATTAAAATTATGGTGCATAGTTGCAACCATTTCTGGTATTGTGGTAAACTAAAAATTTCTTACAGTGCTTGTAATCACATTTTTCATTTACTTTTTAATTGTTAGTTTTATTTATTGACAAAACATATTCTCATGCGGAATTCGAATCAACTTATGGTTTTACTACAAAACCATTTCGTTTAAAAAGCAAGCACATTTTTAGCAATATGTTCACACTAATTCTTCCAAATTGTTTTAGATCAATTTTATGTCATTTTTTGCACGATAACGACAGTGCAAGTTTATCTCAACATTAAAAATGGTTGCAACTTTCCACCGAAATCTTTTTACAGTATAGTAGAATAAGTTATAGGAGAAGATAAGAAGGGTTGTACACTTTTTACTTCTCCAGATTTGCTGTAATCGTCGTCTATCAGTCGAATGTTTAATTTCGTCAAAATAAACATTAAAGATGTTTTGAATATTCGTAAGCCCAACCGAATACTCAACTGCAGCGAACAAACTCAAACTTAATACTTTTAGTCCATCTAAGAGAGACAAACATATGCAACTATTGCAAAAATACTATTTGGGGGAAGCACACTTAACGTCTGCCAAGAGTGCAAACGATATTTCTATTTTTAATTGTAATGCATATTATAACACTTTTTTTTGTTACGTTAATTTGTTTGAAATAAACAAACGTCTGCTAAGAGTGCAAACGATATTTCTAATTTTTAATTGTAATGCATATTATAATACTTTTTTTGTTACGTTAATTTGTTTGAAATAAGCAAACGTCAGCCAAGAGTGCAAACGATATTTCCATTTTTTAATTGTTATACATATTATAATACTTTTTTTGTTACATTAATTTGTTTGAAATAAACAAAGGAAATATAAATATATACTACTTGCTTTTAATTCGTAGCCTATTAGTCGAATGATAGATAGAGTAACTATGATACAAGTGTATTTATCTAGGGTTAAAGAGGGAAGAAAAAAAAGCTTTCTTTGTATTACTGCTACGTGAATTAGTAACAATTAATGAAAATGCTTTTGAAGTCGTTGTGTAAAGAAAAGAAAATAATGTAAAAATTAATTATAATTATACCCTCCATGATTTAAAAATTACAAAGCTCTCTCAAGTATTTCTCAATCAAGGGAAAAAGTATGGAAACAAAATGCAGTTAGATTTTCATAACAAAATGTTAACGCCAAGCAGTAATTTTTAAAAATATCAAAGATTTTAAAGTAAACGAATTTTAAAAGTTTCATACATTACTCAAGAAAAAATCTTTTTCCAGTTTCGTTCAATGAAACCCTTACCTAACTTTCATATTTCCTCAGTACTGACAAATAAGGTACTTAAAAAGGAGGTGGCACTTACCTAAAATAAAACAAAAAAGGAATGTATAGCATGTATTAAGCATAAATTTTTTAATTATTTCAAACAATTAAGTACTGATATCAAAACAAAATTACTAGCTGGGGATATAATTTTAAAATAAATACATTACACGAATGATTTACTTAAATCACATGTTAAGATTTACTTTAAAATCACATCAAGAACTAGTATCCCTTAGTTAAGAATAAATGAAACTTTAAAATTTTAACTTCGACAGCATAACATGTTAAACGAAATGCTACATAACGCCATTAAGAGCCTTTTACATATTTATATCTCCAAAACAGCGGTTCACAATTTATTTCGGCCACAGCACCCTAAATGATCAAGCTTCTTTTGCAATCAGTTCAATTTAATTCAATAGCAGCTGTGATATACTAATTAAAAAATACTGCAAAAAATACTATTATAAAAGGTTTTGTAAATTTTAAATCAATAGTTTTTTTCAAGAGGTAAGATTTAAATGATAAAAACAAATAGATCTGATTTTTGGGTAGGAAAGCCATAAGCTATACTGAATTTTATATATTGTAACAACACAGTTTCATCATCATCATTGTTGGCCAGACAGCCCAATGTGAGCCAATGCCTTTTTCTGAAGATATCTCCATGACGCCTTCCGATTTATTTTTGATCTCCAATTCTTTTCATTACTTGCGAGAAATCCAGAATCCACTGAGTCAGCCCATCTCAACAGCGGCCTTCCCCGCTTTCTTTTCCAGTGGGTCTAAAAAGCAGTATCTTTTTTATTGTGTTGTCATCACTCATTCGAATCACGTGGGCGATTCAATTTATTCTATTTATTTTTTTGTATTTAATTATATCAGGTTGGTTATAAATCTTGTACAGTTCAAAGTTAAATCTCCTTCTCCAGTTATTGTTTTCATTTACACCACCAAGTATACTCCGTAAAATCTTTCTCTCAAATATTGCGATACAATTGCGAAAATGCGCGATACAATTCTGTCAAGACTGGCCGGACAAGAGTTTTGTAGATTAAGAACTTTTTTTTTTTCTAGAAAGAAACCTAGATTTAATAAATTTTGTCTATAAACTGTGTTGAAAAATAACAACACAGTTTATAGACATCCCTAATAAATGTTAAAAAAATTGATATTTTGTATCCTAAAATATTTCATTTCATTCACTATTAGCTTAACCCAAAGCAAATAGAAAAACTGTAGGATATATCTGTATAAAATAAAAAAAAATGATTTCTCGATCTAATTCCCCCCCCCCTTTCACTAAACATCAATACATTTCTCAACTTCCTTTCAAGATTCTTTCAAAACATCTAAGGCTGAAACCCAATACAACAAAAGGAACAACCATTTTGTCAAGATTTAGAGCCTCTTGGCTCTCCGGAAACAAAGGTTTAAAGCGATGTTAGAGGTCTGTTAAGTACAATTCAAAATCGTTTCTTTTACGGAGGTCAAAAAAAGGAGTTGGGCGGAGTGAACAAATATAACAATACGGGTAGGTATTTATGTAATTTTGTTTAACCTTACACCAGAAATGTTGCCCAAATCATCAAGAGAATCACATACGCCGACGCACAAAGCTTTTTTAGAGGGAAAAAAATGGCATTCTCCATAATGGTGGGCGACGCAAGAACAAGATGATCAGGGTCTTAACATTTTTAGAACAGAATAAAAGTTCATTGTTTTTTAGCTTCTTCATTTTCTTTAAACATTCCGTTCTCTTTACGGATATTAATATTTGACATTCCGTTCTTTTTATAGATATTAATATAATAACGATAGTTGTTCGAGGTTTAAGATTTTTGCAGAATAGTAGAACTTTATTTTTCTACATTAATTACATAGTGTGTTCTATAATTACTGCCTTTATATAGATTTTAATATCGAAACGAAAATGGTTGTTTGAAGTTTACGATTTATGTAGAATAGTAAAACTTCTTTTCTTCAACATTAATTATAACTATAATTACTACCTTTAATCTTTTTTTTCATTTATGTAAGTTTTAAGTTTTGCTTGGGTTTATTTTTATATGAGTTAAATTTTGCTTTTGTATTTTTATTTCATAAATAAGTTCTATTTTCTATTAAAAAATTTCAGTTAAATTAAAAAAAAAAAAAAATTTATACTGAAAATATTTTATTAGTGAACTTTTAGCTCGTCTTTAAAGAATGTAAATTTGAGAA